TATTGTTTGCTCCTGCAAAGGGAAACTACATGTCTTCAAAGATACACCCAGATAAGAGAGGTGATTGCTTGCTTGTTTCTCTGGCACAAGAGGGGGAACCAGGCTTTGGTAACAATGCTGGCTATGTGTTCTTCCTGATGTGGGCTAATATAACAGAATAACGGAGTTGGAAGGGACTTTGGAGGTCTTCAACCCCCTGCTCAGACAGGAAACCCTATATCTTTTCAGACAAATGGTTGTTCAATCTCTTCTTAAAATCTTGTAGTGTTGGAGCATTTGCAACTTCTGGAGGCAAGCTGTCCCACTGATTAATTGTTCTAGCTGTCAGGAAATTTCTCCTTAGTTCTAGGTTGCCTCTCTCCTAGATTAGTTTCCATCCATTGTTTTTTGTCCTGCCTTCAGGTGCTTTGGAGAATAGCTTGATTCCCTCTTCTTTGTGGCAACCCCTTAGCTATTGGAACACTGTGACCATGTCATCACTAGTCCTTCTTTTCATCAGACTAGACATACCTAGCAATCATTCTTTATATGTTTTAGCCTCCAGTCTCCTAATCATCTTTGTTGCTCTTCTGTGCATTTTCTCTAGAGTCTCAACATCCTTTTTACATGCCATACTGAATTAATGGATTCCCCAACGTTTGTGGCCAGCATTGTTCCCAAAGCTTGAAATTTGGACAGTGATTTCTTAAACCAGCTTCATTTCTAGGTGGAATTAGCACAGGAGGCAAGCAGTTTAAAGCTATTGTGTAAAACTATCCTTATCCTTCTCTCTCAACCAGTATGAATGGAGATAACAATACTGATGTTTCTGGCAAAGTTGTTGCACTCTTGATAGCATTATGCAAATACAATGCATTATTACCCTTACTGAAAAATAGTGTAGCTACCAAGCCAGTTCTGGATTATTAGAATTAAGGAACACCCCAGTCTGCTGCAGTCCAGTGATGAGATGATCTTCAGCTTTCCATGCTGCGTGTCTGGTTGATAATGGGAAGAGGTTATACTATTGTGTCATGGATGAGCTCCATCATCTTTTTGGGGGGTGGGGGTGGGTGGAAGCTATTGAAGTAGGAATTTTCCTACTTCAATAACTTCCCCCCCCCAAAAGATACTTTTTTGGGGGGGGGAGGACCAGATACTTTCAGGAGCTTAGTTTACTTCGGATTATTTTCATTTTAGCAGAGGATATTCCTTCGGCGATCATTTCAGCCCCCGAGGAACTTATTTATCGAATGAGCCAAACTTTATCTTACACCCCATCTATTGCAGGTAAAGCGCCGTCGCCTTATTGAATTCTCTGCCCAAAGCATCTGGAACTTCCTGGCCAGCGCTTGCTCCCTCAACTTCGCCTTGGCTTTTGAAGAAGGAAACCGAAGGACAAGCCTAAAATAATTATTCCAAGGATGCTTGGAAAGAGACTTGCCTGTCTGGGAAGATCGGACCAGAAGAAGGGAGGGTGCAATGTGTTAGCACAAGCGAGCACGTAAGGGATGCCTGGGCGGCGAGGCAGTTGCTTTCCCCGGAGGTAAGCAGTTTGCCGTGTCCGGCCCCGCCCCTCGCCAGCGCCGATTGGGAAAGTGCCCAGGCGCTCTCCCAAGCTCAGATTCTCCCGCCTTTTCCAACTCGCCTCTCCCCTCCCTCCACATTTGTCCTCTCAACTTCCTCATTGGCAGCCTTGGGCCGAGGGAAGGATGACGCACTCGCTCCCCGAGGGACGTGGGCTATAAACGCCCGACGGGCACGCAGCGCCGGTGCAAGTGGAGCGCTGCCATCCGGTGTACCCGGAAGATGCCGCGAGGGTTCCTGGTGAAACGGAGCAGGAGGCCGGGGGGCTCCTATAGGATGCGCCCCGCAGGCGGACTCTCGGCGCTCCGCCTGGAGGAAGCGCCCCGCCTCGCAACGCCTTTGCCAGAGGCGCCGCAACAGCCCCAGCAGCTGCCTCAGCCCAACTCCCCAGTGATGGCGATCTGGGACGCGGGAGGCTCGGACCCCGTAGCCCCCGCCGCGGAGGAGCCCAGGCGCTGCGCTCCTTCTTCCGTGCCTGCCGAATCCTATCCTCTGGCCCCCGCCTTGGCTCTGGCAGAAAAGCTGCCCCTGATTCCGCGCACTCCGGTGCCTTTGCCGGTGCCGCTCCCCTTGCCTGCTGCCCCGCTTTGCCCGGCTATCCCGCTCAAGCGCCCCTCCCGAGCGAAGGCGCCGCCCGCCAAGAAGCCCAAGGCCGTGCGCAAGCTGAGCTTTGCCGACGAGGTGACCACATCGCCCGTGTTGGGGTTGCGGATCAAAGCTGCTTCCGAGGCGGGCAGCGAAGGCATCCGTGTGGCTCGTCCGACGCTGCTGGGTGAATTTGTCTGCCAGCTGTGCAAGGAACCCTATGCCGATCCCTTGGCTCTGGCTCAGCACCGTTGCTCCCGAATTGTGCGCGTCGAATACCGCTGCCCGGAGTGTCACAAAATCTTCAGCTGCCCGGCCAACCTGGCTTCTCACCGCCGGTGGCACAAGCCGCGCCCGACCACCTCTGCCGGTCCCACCCAGGACAAAGAAAACAGCCGCGGGGAGCCCGGCCGAGATCAGCACCACGGCGCTGCGGACAGCTCCTGCTGCCGGGACCAGCCGGCTCCTCGTGCCGCACAGCTCGGTCCGGCCAGTGAAGCTGCCGTCGCCGCTGCCGCCTCCGTTTCCACTCCTGGCTCCGGTTTGGTAGCTCCTCCTGGTGAGCTCTACTTTTGCCCTTATTGCCACAAGTCTTTCCGGCGCCAGGCGTACCTGCGCAAACACCTGGGCACCCACCAGGCTGGTATCGCCAGCTTCACCAGCAACTCACCATCTCACCCACCCCCGCAACAGATCGCCTTTTCCTGTCATTTGTGCGGCGCGCATTTCCCGTCGGCGGACATCCGAGATAAGCACCGGGTATGGCACACGGTGCGTGAGGAATTGCTTCTGCCACTGGGGCAGCCTGAGGGCAGCCTTAACCACGGTGAGCAGCAGATCTTTTCCTGCAAACACTGTCCCTCGACTTTCTTCAGCTCGCCCGGCCTTACCCGACACATCAACAAGTGCCACCCTTCGGAGAACAGGCAGGTTCTTCTATTGCAGATGTCCGTCAGGCCGGGCTGCTAGACTTGTCCAGCAACGAGTTGATTCTTCTCTCCAGACAGAACTGTGAAATTACACACGTAAAGGCTAAACATTTGCCTGACTCTACAGAGGAGGTGCTCGGACTGTTTTCCCATTACCTGAAACTGCATTACATGATATTTCCTTTGTCCCTAAGCTTTGTACCTTTTTCTTTGGTGATCGAAAAAAAAAAAATCCTCTCCAAAGTATAATTCCAATGGGAAATCATAACCAAAAGGTATCACCATATTTTGTGTCAAATATTTTTAGTCCAGAAAAGCCAATTATTCTTGACAATTTTTCCTTGCTGCCTTATAGTGGGATGAGTGCACTGTACATTTTGTGAAATATCGAACTCTTAACTGTTTTCATATTGAACTGTTTACCATTTAGAAGCCTACCTTCTGCTTTAGGACTAAAAACATGGCATTACATTGAAAGAGGAAACATACTTTTCTGGCTGTGCTTAATACTGTAGCTAAACCTAGAACCAACTGTGTGCCTACCTGTGAGTAAGTCATCTGGGGAAAGTGGAACTGTGAATATTTAATTCTGGTTACTCTTGTCCCTAGGACCTTAAGTACATTCCAACACTGTTTAATTAAAGCTTAATTGGGAAGGAGTAAGTCAGATTTATATATTCAATTAGGGGAAGTTGTCTCCCCCATTTTCAAGCTTAAAAAAAGTAGTTTTTGTAACTGTTTTGTTCAATGTGTTCTGTAATATAACAATATATAGTCAGTTATTCATAGCAGGTCAATGTCTTGTTACAAAATGCTCCTTCTGTCTGCTGTTGCTCATTACTGGTTATTAAAATCAACATTAATTTTTGTTTGCTTCCTGAGTATATTGTGAAAGTTTTCAAGCTCACTAAAATACAGATGATAAAAGGAAACACACACACCGACGGATGGATGGGATGGGAGGGCTGCTTTAAGATTTTGACTGATAGGTAGAGATTCTTGGGCAATAACTATAATAAGCACAAGAGGTTATTCGCTTTTTAAACTTCATCGTCCATGGAAAGTGCTTTCGCAAAATTATAACCTCTAGCTCTTTCTCCTGGGCTCTTAATTAGAAACTAAATCACAGGAAAATGCCCAATTGGATTGAAAGAATAATAACATGAATCTTCTAAATCTGTTTAGATTTAGAATATCATTTAGGGGGTCAGCCTTTCCAAATAGAAAGCAACTTTGAACTGGACCTCTAGCTAAAACTCTTCCTTTGCTTCTGGTTTTCAGTTTGTTTGACAAAATATTTGGAAACTAAGCTAGCAGGATGTTGTCCAATTTCAATATAGTTTTCTAAAGATCTATTTTTTTCTGATTTGGGTTTTAGCTTTTATACAATAATGTATTAATATTTTAGTTATCCTAGTCAACAGGTATGGTTCAGTGAAATGTTACATCTGGCAAAATACTTCTTTTTCACTCTAGCTCATTTATTGAGATTTCTCAAATGCTATGAAAACTTAAAAATGCAACATATTTCATACACAATAATTTTAATATACAATTTGCTTAAAATAGTAGACAATGATTTAGTATTTTAAGCTAAATGATTTTAGCTTAAAATACTAAAATCTCTTTCTAAGCAGGGGAAAATTAGGAAACATTATTAGTTGTTTCTAGCATTATATGCTGTAGTTTGTGACTTTATGAATACTGTTTTAAACAGAATATGTGCTACATGACACAAAATCATTAGAAAATTACATTTGGAACAAAAGAATGGAATAAAAAAACTGATCAAAAAGATTTTCCATTTGAACAACTAAATCATCATTCCATGCCACTCTTTTAATGATATTTGTGCACCAAAAAGGTTTGCATAAATTTGTAATGAAATACAAAACACCCAAAGTGGTAAGAATAATTTTATTGTATTATTAAATAGCATGTCTTTTCTTCAACCATTACAAATTTGTATATACTACATGGCGAACAAATACATCAATATATAGTTCTATAGTTGCCCAGATGAGGAACATATATTTACACATGCAGTTAGTACCAGTGGCATGCTACATTTTTGTTAAAGCAGAATACGGCAAACAACACAGTTGAATTTCTTCATTATGAAAATATTTCTGAGTAGTAATGACAAATTGGAGTGGAATGTATTTGTGTATATATTTTCTACTATAAGGGCACAGCCTCCCCCCCACCCCCCTGATATTACTTGATTGAAAGCAAATGACTGAAGTGGCAAAGTGCTTGAAAATAGGTGATTGTACATATGTATACTTATACAGGTATACCAAGGGACGATCTCAACTTTTGGAAGAGAAAGATTGTGCCAATAGGGCCAAAAGAAAAGCAAATGTTTAGCAAGGAAGTTGGAAGCTGTTGATACTTAACAGTAAATACTTGCTGTTAAGTCTGTCCAACAGTGAATGAGAATAATGGAGCTGAGGAAGAGTCTCTGTTAACTTGGTTTATTCTTATAATATAATAACTCTGTACATAATTCTGTGAATTCTAGTGATATTTGCAGAGAACTCTGGAAATACATTTTAGTTGAAAAGTATACATGCATCCCTTTGAAGATGACATCTTTATTATTTTGAAAGGGTTATACAATAAATAAGAGTGGAACATGCCTGCAGTTTCCAGCTTCAGGGGTGGCTAGTAATTAATCACAGATGTTAAAAGAGCCTTACTTTCCTCTCACAAGGAAAAGTATAAAAAAAGAAACACAGTGGAACAGGAAATACTCTGCCTTGATAAACTATGATTAGCGGGAAGCTGAATATTCTAACACAAAAGCTAAAATGTTTTCATTTTGAAATAAAATTCCATGTTTCTTTAAAATAAAAATAAGAGCAGAGGAATGAAGGAACAATATTCTTCATAGAGGAGAAATTTATGCCTTGATAAAAGAGGCTGGAGCCTTTACCCCTCGCTAAGTCTTGTAGGCTGAGCCGGAGGATCGCCGCAGTTTCATGGACATGCGACTCTTGCTAGTCCGTGGAGAAATGGGGAAAGCTAGATCGGACCTGTCCATCTGCGCTGCTGCTGGAACTTCGGACGCCTGAGCCTCTGGGTAGGGCCCTATAGAAAACAGAAAGGCCTCACGTATTAAAACAATCTGATTACCGAAGATGATTTGCAGAGTGCAAGCCCTAAAACAGTATCCTCTCTCTTGATCTGTCCCATCAACAGCAACTCATCTGCCAGAATCATTAACAAACCCATCTAGGTTAGATTATGAGTGGCTGGGGGACAGTTTCAAACAAACTAACTAATAAGAAAGGACTGGGAAGTTATTAAAAAGAAGCTAAGGTGGTATCTAATCAATGTTATACATACAGTATATATGTATGGGAAAGAAGTATGAATAAATCATGCTAGCTGAATATACTACATGGCTCCTTATCTTTGTAAAAGGAACAAGATAATTTTGACAGGACTTGGTAGTATTGTTGACCCAAAGCAAAGTAATTTTCCTTGGACTGGCCCCAAGGCAAATAGCAGAAGCAATAGGTTAGGTTAATACGGTTATTGCAAAACCCAAAAAATCGGAGGCATGCAAAACAGGGCAGATTGTACGTACAATATATGATCATTCCTACAAGTTTCAGGTAAAATTCCGTTCGCCAAAAAAAGAAAGATATTTCTTTCTTTATGCCGCCTTTTAAAATAAAACTGTAAATCAAAACAGATCATGTCTGCATTCACCTGCAAAGATATTTATTTTTTAAGGAATGAGATGACATGGCTGATATTAGCAGAGATCAAAGCTCAAGGTATCAGTTGGCTACTACATGCACACTGCCCTGTATTCGGATCCTGCTATTTATAATTTAATTCTGTAATTATAATTCAGTAATAATTCTACATTTTCCCACTGAAAATGTGAAAAAAAAATGTTTTTGAAAGTTGATAAAATATAGCTTTGTTCAACTAATCCAACTTATTCATAATATTTTTGGATTACTTGTTTTCATTCAAAGAATACTTGGTTATGCTGCACTTAGTAAATGATAATAAACAAAATTCTTATTACACAACAGATCGTGGCCATAAAGCCAGTTTTAAAAAAATCATCTATCTCACACATGAGCTACACATAAAGTGTAGTCAAAGATGGAACCAAAATCCTATAGTTATTTTAATGGTCCTCCATCATAAAGTATTCAGATTTATGTTTGTATATTTATATTGTATTCATCTTAAAATAAAAGTATTTTTCTCCAAGAATTAAAATCACATGGCAAAATTTGGTTTGAACCAAATTCTAAATAACACAAAATAAAAGGAATCCATTTGCAACTGGAAAAAACTTTCATTAATATGAAAAGTATCAGAATTGAGGGAGTCTGGTGCTGCATTACACTGCAAAGAGTTTTCTAATATTTAGGCATTATATTTTCAGAGGATAAGTGGATGCTATGACAAGATCACTCTGTAAATATACACTAGTGTATTTCTATGGGTGGCATTTGACAATTATAGTAAATCTCAAAGTTACATTATAATTTAATGAACAGATTCTTCTGAAAAACACAAACACCCTTAAAATGATGTTTTTAGTTTTTCCAGTTTACAAAATACATGTTTATGATTCAAAATATTTTTGAGAATCTCAAGAGTATTTCCTCCATTTCAAATCCGAATGTACATTTTTTACTTTCATTTTGAAACATGCTGCAAAGTGATCTCTGCAAGCCATGTCGACTAAGTCACGAAAGTAACTGCTTTTAAAACCAGAATGCCATAAATCTAACCTAATAATTCAAATGCTAGACAGGTAGTCCAGACTTATGACCACAATTGAGCCCAAAATGTCTGTTGTTAAGTGAGACATTTGTTTTCCCCCATTTTACAAACATTTTGTGTCACAGATGTTAAGTTAGTAACCCAGTTGTTAAGTGAAACTGGCTTCCAGTTTCATAAGCTCTTTTGGACTAGAAATGATCCCACATGTAACTTAAACTTTGATATTCCAAAACAGTTTATTCTCTTGTGTTCCTACCAATATTGCTCAGTTTGATGGTTAGAACGCTATCTCCTAAGCTATTTGATATGGGACATTTATAATGGGAGGATTGCTCTTGCAAATATTTTAATCTCTCAACCTCCTCTCCTTAGGAAGACGACTAGTATCTTTACTATAAAGACCGCGATGTTGAACTGTGTTTGGAAACAAGCTGGTAGCCAATACAATCTATAGGAAACTG